CTGTCCCCACCACTACCGTCCCCACCACTGTCCCCACTGTCTCCACACTGTCCCCACTGTCCCCACCACCGTCCCGCTGTCCCCTCACCACTGTCCCTACCACCACCGTCCCCACCACTCTCCCACTGTCCCCGCCACAGTCCCACTGTCCCCACACCACTGTCCCCACCACCACCGTCCTCACCACTGTCCCAGTGTCACCACCACTGTCCCACTGTCCCGAGGATCGGACTGGTAGTGACCCCCCTTTCTTTTCATGATGGACGGGGAGGGGGGGTGAGGAGGGGCTCACATCGGCAGTGACCCCCCCGCGTTTTCGAAGAGGGGGGGGACGGGTTGGGAACCCCCACTGACCCAGTTTCCGCCAGCAGCGGTAGAACACACCCTTTCACACCGAAGAAACGGCCAAGCCCCTTTTGAAAAGGAAATGCTCCTTATTCAGTGGCCAAATTGTAAGGGAGGTAGGGGAGGACCTGCATGTGTGCGCTGCCACTGGGGCCTTCGGTGGAGCTCCCTATGGGGCCATGCGAAGGGTTCGCCGAAATGGAGGGTGGAACCGCATGCGGGCGCTGCCACTGGGGCCTTCGGTGGAGCTCCCCATGGGGCCACGAAACGTGCGAAGGGTTCGCCGAACTGGGGGTGGAACCGCATGCAGGCGCTGCCACTGGGGCCTTCGGTGGAGCTCCTTGTGGAGCCACGAAACGTGTGAGCGGTGTGCCGACACAGTGGTAGAATCGCATGCCGACGCTGCCACTGGGGCCTTCGGTGGAGCTCCCCATGGTGCCACGAAACGTGTGAAAGGTGCACCGAACTCGGGGTGAAATCGCATGCCGACGCTGCCACTGGGGCCTTCGGTGGAGCTCCCAATGGGGCCACGAAACGTGCGAAGGGTTCGCCGAACTGGGGGTGGAACCGTATGCAGGCTCTGCCACTGGGGACTTCGGTGGAGCTCCTTGTGGAGCCACGAAAAGTGTGAGCGGTGTGCCGACACAGTGGTGGAATCGCATGCCGACGCTGCCACTGGGTCTTCGGTGGAGCTCCCTACGAGGCGAGGGGTGCACCGAAATGGAGGTGGAGCCGCATGCCGGCGCTGCCACGGGCCACTGGGGCCTTCGGCGGAGCTTCCTATGGGGTCGCGAAACGTGTGAGGGGTGTGCTGAAACAGCGGCATGCGGAGCGCAAATGCAGGGATGGGAGGAGTGAGGAGGGAGAGGAGGAGAGGAGGAAGGGTAACGCGGGGCGCTGTCTCTTCAAAACGAGGACCCCACACCACAGCATAGTTGGGGGAAAAAGAAGAGAGCAAGAGAGAGAGAGAGACGACAGATAGAGAGAGGCATATATATATATAGAGAGAGAGAGAGAGAGAGAAAAAAAAAAAAAAAAAAAAAAACGGACGGACAGACGGGACAGAAAATGGACAGACAGGATACAACGAATCGAATCAACAGAAAGGAAGGCAGGCACGACAAACAGACATGCACGACAGGTGGATGAAAAGCCAGGCAATACAGAGAGGTCATCGAGCACAGAGAGACTCACAGATCAGCGCATTACACAACAGAGCCACAGACCCACAGACACTGGCGAACACTTCCAGACACCGACAAGCTTGTTGATGCACTCTGGCACACGGACGCACAGTCGCGCACGCACTCGCCTAACAAGAGCGCACGCCTCGATAACTACCTCGTGCTGCGGGGAGGGAGCGGGCAACATGCAACAGCCATGGTCCGCACAACTCCTCCTCCTCCTCCTCCTCCTCCTCCTCCTCCGCCTCCTCCTACTGGTTGCGCGGTGTGGGTGCCGGTGTTCTGGGGCTGGATGGAACAGGACTCAGAGCGGCGGACCAGCACCAACGGGTCCGAACAGCGCACGCGCACTGTGCCCTCCGACGCGTCGATGCCTCACTCCCGCCGGCGGGGCAGCAGCGGCGGGACACGCTCGAAGCCAGTTGGCCACATGCTGCCAGGAACGTCGACGAAGCCGCTGTCTTTCAAAGATTGACCGAGCGGGAGTTCGGGAGCGGCCAAGAGGGGGGTGTCCAAGAGGGGGGGGGGTGCAAATCATGACTGGCGGCATGTGCGCGGCCCAGCGGGGGGGCCAGGGACGTAATGAAATAAGAAGAGGCGCCATGAAATCTGGGGAAAGCCAAGAGGCCCCCAAGAGGCCCCCAAGATGGTACACGAGGGGTCCGACATGCCACAAGATCGCTCCAAGACGCCCAAGATAGCCCCCAGACGCCCCAAGAGGCCTCCCAGAGCACTCCCAAGAGGGCCCCCGGAGGCAAAATTCATTGTTTTTCCTTAGGTTTTTGAAAGATTTTGGAGCTTCCACCTTTTCGGTTCCCGACGCCCCAAGACGGCCCCAGAGGCCCCCAAGATCGCCCCAAGAGGGCCCAAGAGGCCCCCAAGAGGGCCCCAAGATGGCCCAAGAGGGCTCGAAGACGGCCCAAGAAGCCTCCAAGACGGTCCAAGAGGGCCCCAAGAACACCCCCAAAGGGGCCCCAGAGAGGGAACACGAAACAAAATTTCGCGCCCTCGGCCCTAAGAAGCCCCTACGAGGCCCCAAGAGGCCCCTAAGAGGCCCCAAGAGGCCCCCACGAGGCCCTCAGGAGGCCCCCAAGAGTCCCCCAAGCGGCCCCAGGAGGCCCCCCAAATGCCCCCCCGAGCGCCCCAGGAGTCCCCCAAGCGGCCCCAGGAACCCCCAAAGCGCCGCATTGACACCAGGCCCTCGGGCAAACGGCAGACATGAGACCGTATGGGCCGGCGGAATGAGCGAAGCGATTCAATAAGAAGAGGCGCCATGAAATCTGGGGAAATATCATGGCCCCCGCCATGATGATATCCACCCCCCTAGTCATCACCCCCCTCTTTGCCACCCCCGAGGAGTGCGGGTGCAGAAAGAGGAAGCGGTGCAGAACAGAGGACACACACACTGAAGCACAAAGACGAGCCGCACAAGCAGAAGTTCTGGCCGGCCGGCGCACAGGACACGAACAGACAAGCACACAGCTGCACAGCGTACCCTGCTGGTGCAGGGGCGTGACATCAGTGAAGACTTTGGGGCTCTCCAGAGGTCCGTATATTCCAGTTTTGAGAATCCTTCTGAGAGGCTCAAATGGAGGTGGCGGTCTGGGCCCAAGTGAAATACTGAGCGGATGGAGAAAAGCAAATCAGCTCGGAAGCTGGGCGAGGGCTGGCACATCCGTGGCTGCTCAAACGGTCCTCCCGGAAGAAAAAAAACAAACTCCCGGAAGAAAACGCGACGCACTAGATAATCAACGGGCTTCTTCTCGGACGAAAAAAACAATTTCCCGGAGCTCCGTTTAAGCAGCCACGGGTTTGCCAGCCTTCGCCTGGCTTCTGATCAGCGTGAGCCTTGACATTTCAAGATCGTCAGGGCTTCCTAAATCTCTGATGCAGTAGAACGTGATTTAACTCGTGCTCCCTGCGAAATCCCTGCGCTGTTGGTGCTGGCCCCGAGGATAGCTGCATGCCTGCAAGGTGCAAGCCATTAACGGTGCTGCCGAGCGCAGTGAACAGCATAGACATTTTCGAAGTCGTTGGCTTCGTAGCGAGCATTCCAAGAGCCCACGACTTCTGCTTAGGCTGTCTAAGCAGGAGCGTAGACTGCCCGCCTGTGGCATAGCGGTACCAGTTGGACTCCATCGGTGAATTGGTTGGACTGAAACGGATTACACATTGGGAGATCCTCGTCAAACCGATCTTAGAATGAACGCCAGCGCCAAGAGACACTGAGTAGAGTGTTCTCAGGTCCCGTCGAGCTCTCTGCATCGAGTGATGACAATTATCCTGAAAAGGCCCAGATCCACGAGTTTAGAAAATTCCCAGGTGCTCCCAAGCGCCTCGGGGCTTGTTACGTGACGCTTCTGGAGGCCTCGAGCGCGTGGTTAGGAGCAAGGCTCGGCCAAAGCAATGTTTTTCGGTTTCGATTTGTGTTCGTTTTCCCGCGCTCTGTCCTCCTTCCGGCCTCGCTGCACAACGAAGCCAGAACAAAAACGGCCCACGAGATCGCCAAGCCACTGCTCAGGTCGAGCCCTGGGCTTAGAATTAAGTCGGGCGTGTCCTCCTACAGGGGGATTTTGGGCCAAAAATAAAAAAATACCCCAAAAATGCTCCGAAATGGTCAAAACATAATTTTTAAAAAAATAGTCCCCAGACTATTTCTGGACCATTTTTTGATCATGTTTGGGGTATTTTTTCTTTTTCGTCGAAAATCCCTCTGTAGGGGGACACGCGCGACTTAAGCTTAGGACTCCACGTCCGGCATGATTCAGAATGGCCCCGTGGCTCGTCATGGAGCCCCTTTGGTGCCCCTTGGGCCATCTCGGAGGCGGTGGGGGGCCGCCTCGAGAGGCCAAGATCATGGAACTTTGTGTGGGGCAGCCGCCAAAGGAAAAGTCGCCCGGAGCAAGCCCCGCGTGGAGCGGCACAGGCCCATCAAGCCGAGCAGGAGCAACTCGAAGAGCTAGCAGCCCACAGTCAGTGCCAGGCAGAGCAGAGCTCCCAGGGTCCATGGCGGTCAACGTAAGCCAGCAGACGTTCAATGGGTTCGTTGCGTCACGATCCCAGCCTCCTCGCACTTCCGATCTTGAGGCTGTCCATGACGGCCCAATAGGCAACCAAAATCGCTTCAAATCGGTGTTCAAGCCCCCCCGAAAAAAGAACAAGGGGGAATACGAACTACAACTTCGAGCCCTCCACCCAAAATGGCCTACCCGACCCCCCAGGGGCCCAAAGGGGCCCCACAAGGCCCCCAAGAGGCCCCCAAGAGGCCCCCAGGAGGCCCCACGGAGACCCCCAAGAGGCCCGATGCCTCTGGTCCACAATCCGGGCACGGTGGGTTGGGCCGAAGGCCACCAAATAACAAACTTCGTGCATGCTGTTCTATCTGCGCACTACCTCATGCGAGACTGCCCGTGCGTGGATGAGAGAGCATGCACATAGCCCTGACGAAGCAACAAACGCCGATGAGCGGTCCTGCGGCGCCGCCTCCACGGCCAGCGCCGGAATGGCAGGGCTGCCTGGCGTCCGCCCCAGAGCAGCACACGCCACCCTCTCCGCATCGTCCTTGCTCTGGGCCCGATGCCCGCCCGAGCAGGAGCCCGGCTCCGAGCACAAGCGCAAGCCCGAGCCCGAGCCCGAGCTGGAGCTCAAGCCAGAGCCAGAGCCAGAGTCCGAGTACGATCCCAAGCCCGAGCCCGCCGTACGAAGGACGCCCACGAGCGGGCGCCAGCCGACCAGCCGTTCGGGCGGGCCTCACGCTGCGGCCGAGCGGGGTGCGCAAGGCGCACGCGCGCCGAGAAAGGTTCCCCACGATCACTCCTGTCCTTGATGGACGAGAAGACAACGTTCAACGAGCAAGTGCGTGAGGCGATAAAGGGCCAGGGTCGATGGGTGCGAATGGGCCCCCACGCGCGGGAGGCAGCGAAAACTTCAGAATCGGCAAAATCGGGCCCGAAACTGTCCAAATGGCCAGGGTTGTCGCGTCGTTGCCAGCCACCTCGGGAAGCCCCTGGAAGACTGAGGCCGGCGTAGGGTTCGATTCGACCAGCCTCTCGCGCGCTCGTGGGCTTCTCCGCGCTGCCTGCCGAGATGCTGAGCGCCCGTCGCCACGTGCACGTCTTGGTGCAGGGCGAACTCATGCGAGGAAGCGAGACACGGTCAGGGGGACGACCCAACACATGCCACCGATAACGAAATCAAAGCAATCGCTCGCGCGGCCACGACGCTGTGGAGGACAAAACATCATGAGGTACAACCACACACACTCACACGCACACGCACGCACGCACGCACGCACGCACGCACGCACGCACGCACGCACGCACGCACGCACGCACGCACGCACGCACGCACGCACGCACGCACGCACGCACGAACGCACACACACACACACACACACACACACACACACACACACACACACACACACACACACACACACACACACACACACACACGCACGCACGCACGCACGCACGCACGCACGCACGCACGCACGCACGCACGCACGCACACACACACACACACACACAAGCGCTTGCTTGCTTGCTTACGAAAGGGGGGAGCTTGTGGCTCGTGACAACCATGAAGATGAGTAGCTTCCCTGGCAGTGTCGCCACAGAGGGCTTCTACCTGTGATGAGAGGAACTGGCCCGCGCTCTGGAATTCGGCCGCTCCCGGTCGATGCCCTATGGCTGGTCCCCTACGCGTTGTTGCCCTATGTCTGGGCCGCGCTGTCGCAATCGGCCGCTCCCAGCCAGTGTCCTACGGCTGTTGGTGCCCCACGGCGGACCCGCGCTGTCGCATTCGTCCGCTCCCGCTGGGTGCCCTGTGGCTGGACTGCAGCCGCCCGCTCCCGATCGGTGCTCTATGGCTGGCGATCTCGGTCGGCACCCTATGGCTGGTGCCATATGCCGTGGTGCCCTACAGCTGGCCCGCGCTGTCGCATTCAGCGGCTCCCAGTCGGTGCCCCATGCTTGCACCTGGGGAGTTCGGCCGTCCTGGTCGATTCTCTGTGCATTGGTGTACAATGGCTGGCCTTGTGTCGGCCGTCCCCGGTTGGCGCCCTATCGGATGCCCTGCGCGTTGGTCCGCTATGGCTGGCCCTTTGTTGCGCAGTGGCTCGTTCGCATCGCTCCTGTGCCCTATGGTTGGCCCTGTGTTGAGCAGCCGGCCGTTCCCCGTCGGTGCCCTATGGTTGGCATCCTATGGCTGGTGCCCTATGCGTTGGTGCGCTGTTGCTGGCCCTGTGTCGCGCAGGAGGCCGTTCCAAGCTGCAGGCCTGTGGATGGTGACCTATGTGTTGTCAGGACCTGGGCCCGTACCAGACGTTCCGCTTCTTGCCGCCCCGCGGGCGACCGGTGCCCTATGGCATAGGTGCCGCTGTCGGCCGTTGCGGGCTGGTGCCCCATCGTTCCCGCTGGGACCCCTTATGGCATGTGCGCCGCAGGCGGCCATTACCCCTTTGGTGCCCGATGGCTCTCGCTCGGTGCTCGATGGCACGTGGGCCGTCGTCGGCCGTCACCGATCAGTGCCGCTTGGCTGCTTCCGATCAGTGCTCTGTGGCATGCGCGCCGCAGTCGGTCGCTCCCACTCGGGGCCCTGTGCTTCCCTACCTGGACCCTGTGGCCTGTGGGCCGCCGCCGACCGCTCCCGCTCGGTGCGCAGTGGTTGGTGCCATCATATGGCTCCATGCCATAGCAGTAGCCGTAGTTGTAGTAATACCATAATACTAGTCGCAGTAGTATTAGAACTAGTAGTAGTCGCAGTTGCAGTCGTAGTTGTAGTCGTAGTAGTCGTAGTCGTAGTCGTAGTAGTTGTCCCATGGCTCCCTGCGTGTGGCTCCCCGTGGGGCCACGGTCGGCCTTCCTCGCTGTGCCCCACGGCCGTTGCCGCGCTCGGTGCCCCGCCTGTGGTTCCCGGTGTGCCGGACTCGGCCGCTCCTCCTCGGTGCCCGAGGAAGGACGGCTTGCGGTGCCCTGCGTATGGCTCCCTGTGGGCCGCAGTCGGCCGCTCCGGCTCGGTGCCCGTATGGTTGGCACCGTTCGGCTCCCTGCGTATGGGCTCCCTGCCTGCCGCAGTCGGCCCTTCCCACTCGGTGCCCGATGAGTGGTGCCGTTCGGTTCCCTGCCTGTGGCTCCTCGCGCCGAATTCGGCCGTTCCCGCACCGTGCCCTATGGTTGCTGCCTCATGATGCTCGATGTCTGTCTCCCCATGACTATGGCCCCATGGCTTACACCACAATGCTCGCACATCGGGAGTGCTAGAACCTACTGTGTGGGGTCTACGCGCTGACATCATGTTTGAAGCAGTGGTCGAGCGCACGACCAGGAAAATACTGCTCCATCTGCCCACTGACGAAACGGCTACAGTGAAAGACCTTGTATTAGTGGTGCGAAAGACGGTGCTAATTGCTTCCGTGCATCTACTGCTGCTGCTCCCAAACTGGAAAGCTTCGATCCGATCCGTAACCTTTAACGTATGCACATGCGTACTGCACTGCCGACTCGGTGGAATCGCATGCTCTGTCGCAACCGTCATTCGTGGCAGTACGCAGTCGCCGAACGACCAGATCCTACCCCCCTGCTCCCCCTCTCGGTCGCATCAACTTGCTTACTAGTTTGCTGCAGGCCGCAAGGACCAGGGGTTCAGGGCATGCGGGATACCTTCAGTATTTCTTTCTGTCTCCTTTCTTGTGAAGCACCCAGTGACCAGTCTGAATAATTGCCACATCTGAATATCTTGTCATACGGTCATTTCGGCTCTCAGACCATACCTTGGACCACGAGACGATCGAGGCGAGGTCGCCGCCGTTCTCCAGTTCTAGACGACAGCAGTCGGTGGGTATTGACATTACCATTTCTTGTCCGAGCACGCGAACCGCAAAGTTGTCGAAACTCCTCATTCCTGCCCGCTCAAAACAAGTTTCCCCATTCAGCGCTTGCACTGCAAGGGTCCTCGCAGAAATCGAAGGATTTGGCAAAAGTGCCGGGCCGATTTCGGTAGGCCACAGGTTCCCTCTTCCACATCTTCGTGAAATATCCCCCTGCCGATTCCATTGAGCGGCTGAATTCCCAGAAGCCCATCAAAAGAGTGGAGGGAGCAAAGAGAGCAAGGAGAGGGCCGAGAGTATATGTTTATACACACAGTACATACATGTGTGCCTAGAGAGAGAGAGAGAGAGACAGACAGACAGAAAAAAAAGAAAGAAAGAAAGAAAGAAATAAAGAAATAAAGAGAGAGAGAGAGAGAGAGAAACGACAACAAACAATAGAGATATAATAACGAGCCGAGATAGCAGAGATAAAGAGATAAAGAGAGAGTATAGAGTCATAAAAACGCAAGGATGATACATTGTATAGTCTGAACAACGGGAGTTTAACAAACATGGGGCAAATAAACGGGGGCAGAGCGCATAGAGTAGAGAGCAACAAGTGGCGAGGCGAGAAAAGTGAATAGAGGGCAGAGTGAAGAGACAGAAAAGCAGAGGGCTATTGGTCAGTATGATACGTGAACGGGGGAGGGCCCAGAGTAGAGAGTGGATAGTGAGTACTACATTGTGTAGGATCAAGAATAGAAACAAGCAAACATAGAGTGTGTAGCATAGCATGTTACAGCCATCTTCCGTTGCTCCTGCCCACCAGCATAGCGCCACCCTTATAATTGCAAATTGCATGCGAACAAGTGTTTGGACTTCCCTGGTGCCACTGAAAACAACTACAGTGCCCGCTACATAACGCCATTGGAGAGCGAAAGACAGAGCGAGAGAGAGAAAGAACAACGACTTCATCAACGTCGAGAGAGAGACACAAGACAGAGAGTGCGTGTATGTGTGTGCGTGATGACTTCAGGACTTGTCTGCCTCACGCGCGCCGCCTCGCTTACATCCCGTGTTGCCATCTAGTCAACTTCGGCTCTCGGGCTGCGTCCCAAGAAAGTTGCCGTCGGGGCATACGGCTCCGCAGTCGTGCAGCCCTCGTCGGGCCCCGCCCGCCAGGACGTGCCCCCCGAACCGTTCCGAGGCTGCCAAAGGCCAGAATCACACAGGACCGCGCCCGAACCGTGCGCCCACGGGACCCTCTGCCGTTTGACAGCCGCTGGCCTGCCCCAGGGACTCCGATAAGCCAGGACGCTGGCAGGGGGCCAGATGCGAACCCTGCCCCTAACTACCCCCCACGATTCCTGAGGGGGAGGGTGGGTTCACTGCGTGTGTGAGGGTGAGGAGGACCAATGGACCGACCCCACCCCCGAGTGTCCGTCGGTAGACGATGAGGGACGATGGTTTTACCCAACGTACCTCCAAGTATCGAGTACCTGTCATCCGAGCCAAGAGGGGCGATGGATATGAGCAAGATAGGAGGAAAGTAGGGGGATTCACACACACCCCCCGTCCCGATCCCGCCCGATGCCAACGCACAAAAGCGAAAGGCACCGAAGCGGGGATCGGGATAGGAGAGTGAATCTCTACCGAACTCCTGTCTGCAATCCACTGCTTCGGCCCAGGAAGGAAAGGAAGGGA